CTTCCTCTGCTTCAGTTTGTGCCTGTTGCCCCTTGTCCTGTCGCTGGGCACCACTGGAAAGAGTCTGGCCCCGTCCTCCTGACCCCCACCCTGCAGATATTTAGAGGCATTTCTAAGGTCCCCTCTCAGCCTTCTCTTCTCCAGGCTGAACAAGCCCAGCTCCCTCAGCCTTTCCTCATGGGAGAGATGCTCCAGTCCCCTCCTCATCCTCATAGCCCTCCGCTGGACTCTCTCCAGTAGCTCCTCATCTTTCTTGAACTGGGGAGCCCAGAACTGGACACAGCACTGCAGATGAGGCCTCACCATTGCCATGTTCTGCCCTTCGTGACCAAGACTGCCATCACCACAGGGACTTGGTTGCAGTATTTGTATTTGTTCCTCCCCTCCTGTGACCCACCTTTTGATCCTCCCATGGGGTCGCTGATCTTTCTCTGGCTTCGCCGACCCCACCTCACGCAGCAGTCTCCTTACTCTTGCCAAGCTCACGCCCTCACCAGCTCCCGCAGCTCTTCCATGGGGCAGGGGGATGCTGCCATCAGCTGATGAGCGACGGAGGGGTCGGTGCCAGGAGCAGCTTGGGTGCTGCACGGGTCCCACCACGTTCCGGGGGGACAAGCCCTTCTGGGCCGTAGCCGGGCACGGAGCCTGCCTTGCCTTGCAGTAAATGAAATGTGACAGAGGGAAGCCTAACGTTTGCATTTATGCCCTCCTCAATTATTCAGGGCTTTCAGCAGAGGCTCATTGCCTGTTTTCACTGCTAACGAGGGCCCCTCTGCTGCGAGCAGTCGCGGTGGCCTCTGCGAACTTCACTCGCGCGTACGCACACGTGCCCCGCCAGGAAAGCAGCTCTGCTCCTGTCGCTTGGAGGGTAAGGGGTGGCAGCCGGTGCTCAGCGCTCGGGGGTTGTGGTCTGGGGGGGGGAAAGCAGCTGAGCTGGAAATGCACGGCGTTCTGCAGTGTTATTTGGTGCTTCCCTCCTGGGAAATTTCCCTTTCCCCCTCCGCACCCCACGCAAGTGAGAACTCGGCGGCCGAGAGGACGCTGTTTCGGCCGGTAAGGGAAACGCTGATGGGCAGGAGTGGCCCAAGCGGGGCCCCTGCGGTAAAAAAACCCTTGCTGTGGGAGCCCTAGGCATGTTTCGGCGGCGAGTTGGCTGCAGCCCTGTGGGGCTGCTCAGGTGCCGGGCACTCCCTTTGCAGTGGGACTTGTGTCCAGGGGCTGCAAGTGCCGCTCAGGAGGCTGGAAAATGAGGTGGGAGACATGGTCTGCTTGGGCTTGGGAAGAGATCCGAGCAAAAGTTACAGTCCACGGCTGGAGTGACCTTGCAAGGCTTCAAAAATGTCAGTGACTTGGCGTGTCCTTGCCAATTCTGCCTCCACCGCAGGTGTGAGGAGGCTCGACTGGGTTCTTGGCACTTGCACAAGTGCTTTGCTTACCGAGCCTCAGCAATGCGGTTTCTGGTGTGTCAACACAATTCCCCTTGCAAGGGTGTGTGCTTAATTAAACTTAAGAACCAGGGTGACTTTGTATCTCTTTAACTGTACCCTGTTGGATGTCCCCTCCCTGGCAGGGTTCAAGGCCAGGTTGGATGGAGCTCTGAGCAACCTGGTCTGGTGGAAGGTGTCCCTGCTGATGGCAGGGGGGTTGGAACCCGATGATCTTTAAGGGCCCTTCCCACCTGAACCCTATTGTGATTCTAAATGCAGCGTCCTTAGGGATGTGATCCTGGCAGGTGCCAAACCCCAGGCTGAGGTGTTTGAGCATTCAGGCACCCCACATGACTTCAGGCTTAAGGCCTCAACGTCCCTATTAGAAAACTCATTTTTAAGTGGCATGTTAACTTGTGGAATTTGCAGTTGCAGGATATTATTGACAGTAGCTGTTCTAAATTTCAAAACAACTCTAGGTACTTGAATAAGACTAGCACTTTGGTGGCATTCAAATTAGAAGAATTATGTAGAGCCTCACGTTTCAGAGTAATACTCACGCTTCGTGCTTTTATAACTGCCTTAGATGAGGCTTAAAAGTAAATGTAGGTAATGGCTGGTTTCTCATTCCTGCCTTAAAGTAATGCACAGTCTTCCAGTGCTAATTGAAATCTACAAAGAGAGAATTAAAAAAAAATATATATATATGACTTGAGGGCTAAGTGTGTGTGAACAGTTCTAGCAAAAACATCAGTACTCCCTCATGCTTAAAAAATTAAACATTGGGAACTGAATATTAATGATCAAAAGAACCTTTATTTCTGAATCTCTGCTTCTGCGGTCTCTAAATAACAATTTATGTATTATTTGCCTTCTTGCTGCTGTAAAATTTCAAAGCATTTATTTTAGTGTATTTTTCACAAGTTGGAATGTGTTATTTGGGGGGAAAAAAACGTTTAAATCAAAACCTCCCAGGTCTTTTCTTACAGCACTTTACAGAGTCAGAGCATCATACAAACTCTTAGTGGATTAACTGAGCTGTGACTCAGTCATTTCCCAGGATTTCTGGCTACCAGATTC